CCCCCCCCAGCAGCCCCACGCCCCCTGCCCGGCCCCACTCGGCCGCACTGGAGCCCTTTGTGTCCCCAGGAGAACAAAGGGACGTTTGAGCACTGCGTTGGCACCGGCCCTGCTCCAGCCATGAGTGGGGGCCCCACTGCTCTTTGGGGGCAGCTCCCCACGGCCGGCACCCCAATGGGTCCGGGCTCCCCAGCACAAACAGAAGGGACGGGGAACAGATGGGGCGTCACCCCCTCTCCACGCAGGGTGCCACGGCCAAACCGTCCTCAGTGTCCCTCTGCCGTAGCAGAGCAATGCCAGCCCCTGCCCAGCCCCAGCGCTGCGCTTCCACCCTCGTTTCTGTAGGGCCCACACAAACACTGCGCCGCCCCACGGGAGGAAGGGCTGCGGCCTGGGGGGAGGGGGTCAGCAGAGGGGCGGCAGCGCCGTCCCTGCACAGAAACCCACCCCCAATCACCCCGTGCAGCTTTTCCTTCCCACCCCCGCCCCAAAACCCCACTGCTGCCTCACACCGGGCAGCCCCGGCCCCCTGTGTTGGGGGGGCACAGCCAGCAGCGGCCCCCCGGCGGTGTCGTGCCCCCCCCCCCCCCCCCCCACATACACACACCCCCCATCCTGGCAGCACCAGCCGGGCAGATGGCAGCGCTTGGCAGCAGCACCGCCGCATCTGCGCCTCCGCACCGCGGCCCACGGGGCGCTGCCGGGAACAGGATGCTGCGTGCCGGGGTGCACCCCATATAACACCCCATGTAACACCCCATACAGCACCCCACAGCGCCACCCCCTCCTCCTTCAGCGGGGATCGGGGCGGCTGAGGGCACAGCAGCACGGGGATACCCCCAAAAACCCGGAGCACGGGGAACTCCATCATCCCTGTGCCGCGGGGGCGATGCCGGAGATGGTTACCCCGCGCATCCCTACACCGGCTGCTCCCGGCCCCGCGCCGTCGGAAGCGGCCTCTGGACTTTATAACTCATTTCCTCCCATGGCCGCCGGGCGATAAGGGATTGGAAGAAACCGCTTTCCATTTCCCCCGGTAGGAGCCTCGGCGCCGCCCCGCGGGGAGCGTCGGGTACCCCATAGCACAGGGTGAACCACAGCACCGGGTACCCCATAGCGGCGGGTGACCCCGCAGCCCCCGGCACGTGGCCGCCATCCTCCGGGTTCTGAGCAGCTTTCCGGGCTCTCAGAGTTCATTCATCGCCCCCAGCGCCGCAGGGATGGATTTTGGGGTCACATTGTGGGGAGGGGGGGAATGTATAGGGTATGTTATAGAGCTCCTGGGGTGGAGAAGGGATTCCCAGTGCGGGGTGCAAAGGGGAATCCTGGGGGTAAAGTAGGGGGTGCAGAGGGGGCGTGATGGGGAGCACCAAGGGGTGCAACAAGGGATCTGGGGGGCACGGGGGGGGGCATATTTAGGGCACGCTGTAGGGTTCCTGGGTGCAGAACAGGGGCAGCAGGGGGGCACAGCGCTGGGTGCCAAGGGGGACCCTTGGGGTAAAGTAGGGGCTACAGAGGGGTGGGTAATGGGGTGCACGGAACGCTGCGGGGGGGACGGGGGGGTTATTTAAGGCACGTCGTGGGATTGCCGTGGGCAAAGAGGGAGTCTGCAGGGGATGCAGCATAGAGTGCGAAGGGGAAGCCGAGGGGCTCCTGAGGGTCTCAGCACGGGGCGCGAAGGGGGAGCGGGGGTCACCGGGACCCTTGTGGCAAATAGGGGGCGCAAGGAGGGGGGCACCGGGGTGCCGCGGGTGCCAAGCTGGGGGCGCAGAGGGGGGCACTGGGGATCCAAAGCAAAGGGG